CGCTCATTGCCACTCATTTATAAAGTTATAAAGCGGGCACGCGTTTATGCTGTGAACTCACATGCATGCTGATGTGAGCTGGTGCGCGCGGAAGGAGAAAGAAAAAACGCGCGCCCCCGAGCATGCAAATAGTTGTGTGTTTGCTGATGCTGTGGGATGCAGCTCATCTGTGTTGTGCTCACGTTGTGTGCAGCTGCTCCGTGTAAACGCTCGGGGATCGGGTGCACGTATGAGCCGACGTGCCCAGAAGATTCATGTTTGCGCGCCCTCATTCATGCGACGTCTTAAGCGAGGATTGCCGCAGGAGCGCACGTTTGACGCTGGTGCGGTCAGGAAGCAGCGCGCGGCATCGGTGGGGCGAGGTTACCACTGGGCTCGTTCTGCAGAACACGTTCATTCTTGGCTGAGGATCACGTGAGCTTTTGAGTGATTCCACGAGCTGCAGTATTAATTCAGAAAACCTTCTTCGAGGATGAAGGAGCGGAGTCGCTGAGAGGCTTGTGAAACTGTTGACGCCAAGGGAGCGCGCGTTTGACACCACTGCGATGAAAACGCGTGTCGCTCCTGCCGAGAGCGAGATACGTTACTGGGCTCGTACCGCGGTCTCACGTTAACGTTGACGTGAACGGCGGGCGCTGAGAGCTGCGCGTGCACTTTCATAACGCAGCGCCTTATAGGTGAAGGCTGCTCGTGCCGCGGGAGCGCGTGTTGGCACCGCCGGCAGTGAATGAAACAACCTTAAAAGGCTCATTCGTGATGAGTGTGTGTGATGGGGCCGCTGTCAGATCATCCGTGCTGACAGCCTGGCTAAAAGACACTTCATCATAAAATGATGTTTATTTCCACATCGTGTCATCAACACACTTCCAGCAAACTGACACCTGGTTATCTCCCCTGAGCTCCGTTTGTTGTCCTAGACAGAGGGCCCACCGTCTCTTCACGCCTCTGAACGTGTATGCCAACAGCGTAACGTGTTGTTCGCTGCGGCCGTCTGGAACGCATGCTGGTGAGCTCAGTTGGAGAGCAGTGTCACCGTCTGGGTTACGCTAACTGGAGGCACGGGACACTGGTCCACCTGGACATCTTGCTCCGATGAAGCCTCCGTCAGGCTCGGCTCCAGGGGGCACTGAGGGAATTTCCGCTCGGTGAACCCCTGCTCTGGAGATGGGTGCGGACTGTGTAGACCGGCCCCCCAATCTACCAGGAAAGCCGGCTGTGGCCTCGCCCGTAGGACGTCCTGTTGGGAAACCGAGGCCAGATGTATCAGGACGGTGAGCCGGAATGGAACCTAGAAAAAAACCTTCCCACCGGATCATCCGAACTGGAGGGAAAGGCGCGGGATGTAAAAAAGGGGTCCCTTCATGCCAGCGGCTCCTGGATTACGCCGGGCAACCCCAAAGGGCGCCGTTGGCCGGAAGCAGTGTGATCGCCGATGCGAAACGAGGTGGGATGAGGTGAGCATTTGCTCAGCCCCCCTCCACTGACACTACGCTCTCCAGGAGGGAATGAGCAGCGGGGGGCTGCAGCTGACGTGGCCTGTCCCGGAGGAACCATCCGATTCGCTCCGAGGGTCGGCAATAAGAGGAAAATTACAAGATGGCGTTGTCCAGCGTGTAGCGACCTGTCACTGAGAAATACTCCTCGGTGCTTACCTTGAAACAAGACTGCTCGTCAGCTTCTCCTCGGGGAGGAGAGCTCACCGGGACGACCGGAGGTCGACGTGACGGGCCAAGCATTCTTAACAAAGGTTGGTCATCTACACAACTTTCCTTCTTCGTTCTTCTGACAGTGCTATTAGCTTGCTGAAGAAAAAATGGGAGCCGATTACCCGCTCTTAACATAATTTATACGGACCGGGTGGGGCCCACAAAGCAGGTGGGCGTGGACTAAATTTTTCAGTGCAATGCTTTGCATATCGGGATAAACCCATCAGCGACAGCCTTAAAGGGCGAAGCCTATACGAAATAGAACTACCATTTACTACTACTACTACTACTTGTGTACATAATTTTCTTCCATCATGTACCACACGAGATGGTAATAACACTAAAGTGTACTTGAAGTTGAACTTGGACTACTGTATCCCTAATTCGCGGTTTTTCACTTATCGCTGGTGTGTGTGGTCCCAAAGACCCGCGATAAACGAGGGACCACTGTACCTCAAATATGGGTGTGGCTAAAGTTAATGTCCTAATATTTATCTTTATAGCTCAAGCAGCTGTAGCTCATACTCCAAACACTAATTTCATATTTATTCAAAGAAGTCAGACAGTTGTCTAAATTGTAAGAATAAACCAAACGCAGTTATTTGCACATCTCAAACGTTTTGTTCACATTGAAATACAGTAAACATATTACAAAGTTGTTTTTAAATAAGGAATTTGAATTTGACAACACATGTCAAAGTTCCTGGAGCAGCAACAAAAGGCTGTAAAGGTACGAATAAGAAGGAGCTGGAGGAGCATTTTGTACCAACAGGTCAGCGAGAGCACTGGGTTTAAAAGCGAATGTTAGTGGCTCACTCTGAAAAGTAAATGTAAACGGACTGTACTTATATAGCGCCCTTCTATCTGATCAAGATACTCAAAGAGCTTTACACTACATGTGCCTCATTTACCCATTCATACAGCACTCTACTAAAACAAAAGTAAAGCCAGTCAAAGGTTCACCAACCTGCAAAAAATCTGATCCTTAAAACAGTGTAACAGTTTCACACTAGTGTCATGAAGACTCTGAACATCCCATCATCTAGAGTTCATAATGTGGAAAGATTTCAAGAATGTGTAGAAACCTCTGAGTTCAAAGAGCAGAGTGGAAACTGCCTGTGATCTCTGGGCCCTCAGGGGCCACTGCATTACAAACACATCTGATTACCTATGGCTCAGGAACACCTCCACAGATTATTGTCTGTAAACAAAGTTCACTCTGTGTCTTCCAGAAATGACAGTGTTTCTCTACCGAACTGAACTACTAACCCCCCCATCCCCCGCCCCTTCACAACTGCTGGCACAGCGCACATAACAGAGGCGCTGGTTGATAAGCACTACGTGTCTCGGTCTGAGCATTCATTACAACAACATGGCTTCATCGAGTCCAGGTGCTGAACTGGTCTGTCCAATGTCCAGAACAGGTAGAACCTGCCACCAGACAACAGGGCCTGTCTGATGGAGGGAACAGGACAACACGCCCTCCAAACCTCCAGCAGCTCATCTCCTCAGTCCCTGGATGTTTACAGACTGTTAAACCAAGATGAGGTAGAGGCAGAGCAGCCGGGAACTAAAAGTCCCAGTTTGATCCCCAGCCATTCTCACACGTCGTGGTTTCTCTGAGCCAGACACCCAATCCCTAACTGCTCCCAGGGTGCTTGCATAGCTGCCCACTGCTCCACCTGGGTGTATCGCAGGTGTGATGGGTCAAATGCAGAGAACTACTGTCATCATTAACCAAAAAAAGTCCATGCTCAATAATCCAGGTATATAATCCATCATTTTTCAGTCACGTCATCTGGAAAAGTAAATAAACTGTCCAGATGACCTGACTGAAAAATGTTGTGATGTCATCGTTGTATGGGAACATATATGATGACACCACACAGCACTTTAATTATTATTAAAAGGAGATGCTTTACAGTGAGAAATATGGACTAATGGCTAAATCATTTTAAATGATTTTAAATAAAAATCCATGCCAATCGTGCGGCTCATCCATCAATCAGCCAATTGTGTGCCATGTCCAATCTTATTTTGAAAAACCGTGATAGAGGGAGACCGTGATAAACGAAGCATGAAGTAGTGAGGGACTACTGTATTTCACTGAAAATTCTACTTTCAGAATTGGGATTGCACTTAAATGTGTAGTAAACATCTCTGAGCTGCTGCTTTACTTGACACTGTGAACTAAAATAAAGTCTGTGGGATCCACATGCCCAATTCATGAATTCAAATTAATTATAGATTTTAGAGTAAGAAGACGGAACAAGCAAGCAGCACGCTGAAAGCAAACATCTGAGGCCCATGATATTAGCAGTCAAAGGTTTCACAAGGAGAAGTGATGTTGCGGTACGTTATGCGAGCGCAGAGAGAAGAAGAAGAAGAAGGAGGAGGAGGAGGCTGTAGGGGAGGAGTGGAGAAGTACGTACAATCCTGATGCCTTTCTAATGCAAATTCAAGCTTCTCCTTGGTCTTCTGCATAATTCGTAGCTGCTCAGCGTAGTCTAGTGTTGGGAGGCAGGGTGATGGGTCAACAGTACAAACATACAGGCACACAAACACAAAAGGGAGGGACAGGCCAGTCCAGAGACCGGCAGGGGAGGAAATGAACAAACGGAGAGGGAGAAAACAAAAGGGAAAACATGGTTGAGAAATAATGGACGGTAAAGTTACAAATGACTTTCACATGTGAGAACACCAAACTGGTTTACAGGCTTCATGACAATGTGTGACCTTTAACCTTCTCAGAGGGTGCAGTCACTAAAGTCAGCTTAGACCCAACAGAACAGGAGAAGGGGGTGCAGGGGTAAACAAGTACATAAACATTGAAACAAAGTTGTGTCCCTGGACATGAACTCATGAGTGGTGACAGTCCTTCATGCTGTAACGGACAGAGAGCAGGTTCATGTACAATCAGCTGTGATGTGTCCACACACTGCGGCTTCAAACACGGCTCAGGAGCTAAAGTTAAACTGTTGCTCTCACACCTCCTGGGGAAAATGGATCGTTTTCTGAAACGTCCAACATCAGAGTCTCCCCAGACAGAAATTCATAAAAACCACAGGAAACAAAGCACATGACTGATTGAACTGGATGTTTTCATTTATATATTGAAAAATCAAATAAACTATCAAATTATTACTGTGTAAAATATTGTTGTAGCTAAAGTTACTGCACTGAAATTGCTGTTTGAAGAAGTGGAATTAAGAGAAATGTTTTAGCTCCTCCAGCTGCAGAGACAAGAAGTTAGTGTTCTCGTTTCCAGACAGAGGTGAGACTCTCGGGTCCTACCTGACAGCTTGGCCTCCAGCTTCCTGATCTGACCGTTCCTTCTGAGGAGCTGAGCAGACAGGTCGTCCCTGGAGCTGCTGCCATCAGAACCCTGCGTGCACACACACACACACACACACACACACACACACACACACACACACACAGGGACAACGTGACAGCTTCACACTGAAACTTCATCTAGAACGTGGTTTTACTCAGCAGCAGTTTGAGGCTGGTTTGGTGGTCGGGGGAGACACGGGGGTGTGGTTATCATGGTGGGATGGCGGCAGGACCTTTGGCCTTTCTTTTGGTTTCGTTTTAATTTGCACTTCTGCTGCAGCTCATGCATGGAGGCGTTTTCCTGTTAGCTTGGATTGTTGCAGGGTTGTGTTGGGGTTTTATGGCTGCACTGGCACCACAGTTTTATTTACAGATGTTCTAGTTGTGCTTTTTATTTTTTAGATAATTTCAGCTGTTTTCAGATCAATTTGTTTTTCCATAGTAATTTCTACTAATTGCTGCTTTCAGCCTAATAAACTTCTTTACGCTAATTTCAGCTTGTTGTGCTCATTTAAGCTTTTTCCTGCTAGTTTCAGCTTTTCTGCCATTTCAGCTACTATGTAGCAGTTTTATGCTGATGTAACCTACATGAAACATTGGGCTACTGAACCCATATCTGTAATTTAGGTTGTAATACCGAGAAGGTCCAGCAGAGGGCACTCAGTTTCTACCGAGTTGAATTTAACCAACGTGGTTTGGTCATTTTTACCTATAGTCTGAGGCATGCTCTTTACACGTGCACTGACCGACCAAACTGTGGACCTTACAACCCGTCTATGAATGACAGAAGTGATCACTCATTGAGAATTATCTATGGAAATCCCAGTGAGAGACTCAGGTGACCGCTTGTTGGGTAATATATGTGGAAGTCCTGGTGAGTGATAGCTCAGTTGAGCTCACTTAGCTTGCGGCTAATGTATAGATAAGTTAAATATTAAACTGCCAGATACTGAGATATGTCTCTAAATAAACCAATCGGGAGTTTGTTGGACTTTGTCCTAATGTTTTAATTACTTTGGTGTGTGTTACATCTTTGTACGGACAGAAATAAGAATAAAAATGCTAACCAAGCTAATGCTAAAGGCCTGTATCATTTTACAAGGTTAGAATTAGCTCAACAAGGACAAAGAATGTGCTTTTTGTATTCTAAATCATATTGGTTCATTAAAAATACATGCCGTTCATAGTAAGCCATATTAAAGCTTCTATAAGTTGTTTTTGGTTAAAATAATTGTTGAAGTGTTATAAATTCATTAATCAACATTTTAAAAGCAAAAGAAAGGTAAAATGTTTAATATGCCTGATATGTTATGCAGTCTAACACTGATTTTGATTAACTTACAAGTTATGCACTGCATATTTAAGTTGTCAATGTATTTTGTTGGTTTAACAATAAAAATACTTAACAGTTAACTACTGTTTATTGCATTTCATGGTAGTTCATCGTAAACTTAAGCTGATGAAGCTAAAAACTAGAAGGAGAAATATTTGAATGATTTGTATTCTTGAGAAAGGACATGGAATCCCATAACTGAACGTAACAGAATGAGTTACTTTCTGCACTTTCTGCAGGTTGGTTTTATACTGACTCTGGATTCTTTGATCGTGATGGAGAGCCGAGCCCACGCAGGTGTAAACAGTGTGGCCAGCCGGACATCATTTCTCAGAAGAACCTTCACAATCTGGAAAATCCATCTTGGGTTACAGATATTATTCCATACACAACGTTGCTAAAGAACTGAACTTTATTTTATTTTTTCATAAAAGGGGAAAGAACTATATTTAATTTTTTCTTATATTTTATTTTTCACATCTGTAAATAAGTTGTTTTTAAATGCTTTATTGTGTGTGGGGAAGCAATAAAATAATCAGTTCATCATTCTCCTGGCAGAACCTGGTAGATGTTTAGTGCCTGTTCCCTACTGGTCCACTTCAAGTGCGCTACACTAATGTTCCACATTTTTAAATCTCATTTCATTGTGTGCACTTCCTTCAGGTAGTTTAAGCTCCTTTCTGCCTTTTCAGCTATTTTTTCTGCTAATTTCTGCTTTTTTAAACCTAATTCAGCAAATGTGTGTTCTTTCTTTCTTCTGCTTATTCATGCAGATTCAGATTTGAGTGAACCTCTCAGACAGTAATTGTTGGATGAACACCTTCAACACGTTAACGTGAAATCAATCTGGTTTAAAGAGGTCACCACAGCTAACTTACCTTAGCCTCCACGACGGTAGCTCCTTTTACAGATACTATTTCATGTAGTAATACTGAGAGTACATTAAACATTATACTGTGAGCACGAACAGATCTCACAATATTCAATAGTACCATCATCCTCATCATTCACAAGGTTTGACCAAAATACCTGCGACCCATTATTTCTCAGCCCATTAGATGACTCCAGGTTCAAAGTCTGGTATAAAGGCAGCGGGTGATGTCTGTGCTATGATTTTGTTTTTCCTGTCTTTCTTTCTGTTTCTCTCTCGCTTCTCCTTCATTCTCCCTCTTCTTTGTTTTAGTTCAGTGCATTTTGCTTTTCTTTCCTGGGGTTCAAAGTGTGCTGTAATTATTACCAGCTTAATGTAACAAAGACGTTCAGTAATAGCTTTACAACTTTTGATACCGCTCGCTGAGATAAGCTTTAGTTTAGTTGTGATTCTTCCAGATGACAAAATAAAACCGCGCACGTGTTGTGGTTCACTTCAGAGGACTGCACTGAGGTTGGGATCCTGTAGGTGCTGGAGACCAGATACAAATCTGGAATCATCAGTAAATGAAGTCACTTGTAGGATGCAGGGAGCAGTTAGGGGTTGTCATCCAGTGATAAGGGCCTTTTGGTCCATTGCTCAATTTTCCACTATAATCTCTAAATGTTAGTTGACCATGTTTCTCAGTTAATCTGTTGGTCGCAAAGAGATTGAAAAACTTGACCTTTGACCTTCAAGAAGTGAGTGAAATATTAATGTCCACCTGAGGATTTACTAAAGTAGCAACGATGGCGTGCATCTCTATCTCTGTAGGGGGAGTGGTGGCGCAGAGGTTACAGAGGTGGGCCTGCGGTTGGAAGATCGCCGGATCAAGCCCCAGTACAGACAACATCAAAAATGTGGGTGGGGTAGGTGAAGCACCCACACCTGCTGCCACCCTCATTCGCCCCACTCTGGGCCCATGAGCAAGGCTCTTAACCCCCATCTGCTCCTTAAACCGGTCTCTCTAGAAACTGAGTTCTCGTGGCTCAATGAGACTACCTGGATGAATAAAAGTAAATGAAAAATGCATCTGTGTCACTGACATGTAAGTAGGTTTATATACTGTATACTTTAACTGTTCAATAAAAAAAACTTGTCATATTTTTTCCCAAATAAAAAGTATCTGTATAAACATCTTCAGTGATGACTTTATATGTTTTTACCTTATAGGCAAAGAGGCAACTCCATCCATTATTAAGGCAGGAGGAACTGAGAACACACCGTGAGAGCAGCTGTTGTGTTCAGAGTGTGTCGGGGGTGACCGTGGGCGACCACACAAACTCTTAGTGCAACATACAGACTGGCCGAGTTACAGGCAGGGCAGTCATCTTGAACTGAGCCGAGTCCAAAACTCATCCACTTTTAGACATCTGGCCATAACATTATATTTGAAAATCTGATTAAAATCCATTCAGTGGCTCATCGTGAGATATTTTGCTAACAGGCAACGTTGATTCCAATAGGTATAGGCAAAAAGTTCAACCCAGATCAACTCATGATCTTCATCGCTGCTGTTGGTTTGTCAGCTGCTCCTCCAGGTTTGTATGTGGCTGTCTGAGGACATCTCCAGCACCACGTCTCTGGAGCGTTGCCATCTCTGCTGGGTCCTCCGCTCCATCAACTCACAGTTCCAGCCTGTTGCAACCTGGACCTCTGTACACCGTGTTCCTGCTGGCCCTGTCTGGCCCGCTAACGAATAACCAGGTATTAACTGTATCCTCCAGCTGTGAGTCCAGCTGCTAACTTCAGCGTTACTCCAGCTTGGTTGCCTCCAGAGACATTGGCCTTTTTGGCCTTGTGCGACAACGCTGCTGGGTAATTTCCAGAAGTTATTTTTCTGTGAGGACATTTCGTGTTGTGGGTTATCTTTGGTTACTAGAAGCCCATTTATTAGGACGTTCTTTTCATTTATTTGGTTTATACTTTTATTCATTTCCTGCTCTATTTTATTATTGTCTAGTTGGTCTTGCAATGCCTCCCATAAGCAACTGATGTTGCCTACCTTTGAAACACTGTACAGGACTGACTGGTAGGGACTTGAACCGTTTTATTACCCCCCAGGCCATAGCGGTCCAACTGGATCCTTACTTTTATGGTTTTATTTTGCGCAGCACTGTTATGAATGATGTTTTTGGAGTGATCTTGCTGCTGTATTTACATCCAATGTTTTCAGGAAACCTGGGATGAGAAACTCCTTCATTCTAAGTCGTTTGCTCATTTTGTCGCTTTCGTTAATTTCTGGGAACGTTCATGTTAACCCAGACCCGTCGGCTTCCAGGTACGCTCTTCATCACCTAGACCAGTGCAACAGCTCAACTCTCCTCAGTACTTCACTGGTGAATAGTGACTCATCCTATAATGACTTTTGCACCCGTATTAGTAGGAGATTCTTGCATATTAATGCCAGAAGCCTGTTACCTAAGACGGACCGAGTCTGGGTTGAAGGTTCTAATCCAAAATTTGTTGTTGTCTCAGAAACATGGCTGTGCAGGTCTAGTTCTTATCCTGCTTTCCATTTGTTAGATTATAATCTGTACTGACAGGACAGGATGACCAGGGTGGATATTTATATAAAGGATCATTTGACGAGTTCTGTTAATTCTGGAAAAATCGATTTTGATCTTTTTGTTTTAAAGGTTCAGCTTTCAAAGAATTTCTCTTTAGCAGCAGCAGGCTGCCATCACCCTCCTCCTTCTGCCCTTTGATGGCTTTAAGTAATGCGTTCATTTACTCATTCAAAGTGTGGGCTGCTGGTGACCTAAACTGGGATATGTGGAAACCTCCTGTTTCTGTTATCCAGCAA